TTTATGTATTATTACTTTTTTCAGTTTCTAGTTATTTGAGGGACTTTTGTGGATTTTGCCTTTTCTTTAATGGGAGGGTCTGAATACATTATGAGGACGGCTGTAGAGACGGAGAGAAATAGAGGCAGCAGTGTCGCCCCCACGAGGCCGCGATGGGAACTACAGCGCTAAAAACAAAATGTTGTAGCTCGTCCTGAGAAGGAAGAAAAGTTGTGAAGTTGGTTGTTTTAAATCTGAAGCGAGGAAACAAATCAACGTTTAGTTTTTTTATTTCATTCACTGACTTCCTTCTTTTGTGTTTCAGGAGTCGGAGCTTTACATCTGCTTATAACCCGCAGACACCGCATCGATTCATCGTGTGATTTCCGCTTCTTTACCCAAGTTTGTCAGGAAGAAAGTGGTATTTACGACTAAAACTAAATGTTTAATGTGTTTTGTGGGGGAAAAAAACATTAAGTTCTGTACCATGTTGGATTTTTTCCATCTGAAATGTTTAATTTTGGGGATAAATTAGTTTTATTTTTGTTATTGGAGCCTTTAGTTTGAGTTTGCAGCACAGATAATAATCCATTTTTAGTTGGTCAAGTTGATTTGCAGAGGTGCATTCTGTTTGGACATTACGTTAGAGTTTCTGTGGCATTTTTAACACTGTGCATCTTTACGTTTCCTCCTTTGCTGCAGTCTGACTGCAGGTTTCATGACATGTTTTGGCTTTGTTAAGTTGTTTTTTGTTTTTTTTGTCATCTTCTGCATCGATCTTTAAAACTCGCACTTGTAAATTAACGTTTTAAAGACAGAAAACATTGAAATGAAATGAAAATAAATAACGTGTGAATAAATAATTTCACTCACAAGAAGAATGAAAACGGGGGTCGGTTTATTTCAAGAAATCTTTTCACACGGCGGAGGGATGAAATGAGGAATAAACGGATGCTTTTTGAATTAGGTTGCAGTTAATATTATAGTTTTTGGAGCGTTTTGTTTTTATCCTGTGCAGCTTTTTTTTTTCTTTTGTTATTGTAGTTTGACCACATTTGATGAAACAATTATTCAATGATTTTGTTTTTCAATAAGAAAAGAGTAAAAAAATTCGGCCCTGCATCGATCTTTAAAACCAAACTTTTAAATGACAGAAAAGCTTCTCTGTCATAAATAAGTGGAATAAAAAGTTTAATATTTTGCTCTGAAATGCTGTAAAAGTTGAACTTAACATACAAAATCCTCAAGTACACATTTGACAGCATTGGATTGAAGTAAATGTACTTTCAAAAACTGAGTAAAAGTACAATACTTTGAAATGTTGAAGTACAAGAGAGCATACATTGGAAATACTCAGGTGTAAGTACCTCAAAGTTACACTTAAGGAAAGTACTCGAGTATATGTACTTTCTAAAGTAAGGATACCCATNAGAGTTTGCATCACAAGAAATAAGGATTTTTTAGTTAATAACATGTTTTTGCAGCATTTTTAACGCTGTTTGTTTTTCCTTTTTTTCACATTTGAAGAACTGCTGGTTTTAGTCGAGCTGTAAATACTGCAGTAGTGGGAGAAGTTCTCAGGTCATTTATTGAAGTAAAAGTACCGAATAGTTTTGTTAAAATACTTCATTACAAGTAAAAGTCCTGCACGAGCGATCACAGTAAAAACACAAAGCAGCTAAATACAATTCAAGTACTGCAGTAGATAAACTGATTCATTATTATTAATAATAAACATGAGTCTGTCAGCAGAACCACTTTATGTCCAGCTTTATATTCATATTTCTCAATCACTCATGTGTTCCCAGTTTCTTTCCAATCTTTAATTTTATGCTGAAATATTGGATCAGTGGAACATTTATTGAAAAATCTGTAATTTTTTGTGTCATCTTTTCATCTGAAGTCACTAAAGCAGTCAGACAAATGTAGTCGAAGAATGAAGTAGCATGAAATGGAAATACTGCTTAAATTTGCCTTCGTCATTCCTTAAAAAAAAAAAAAGAAAAAATGTCTAAGAAATGTTGAAGTCAAAGTATAAAGTAGCAGAAATTAGAAATACTCAAGTACACGAACCTCAAAGCTGTACGTACGGAGAGTATTTGGGTTTGTGTTTTTTATTTGCTTTAAATGTTGTAAATGAAATCCTTTTTTTTCCACTTGAATCTGAATTCAGCTACAATCTCAAACAAGTCACTTTTATTTTTTGTTTCTTTAAAGGAACAAACTTCATGAAATTTCTGCAAAACAACCGAGCGAAGCCACAGACGCGTCTCCGGATGACGAACCGAGCTCCAGCGTACGTATGAAGCTGAAACTCGAACCAGAGTAGAGTCAGATGTATTCATAACCTCCCATTAGAGAAGGAAAACAACAGCTGTCAGTGAAATAGGGTGAAAGTGACAGAAGTAATAATAAATAAAAATTTAATGAAAATCACGACATTGCTTTTGAATTGTGGTTCAACAGAAATATTGAAAAAAAAAAAAAAAAAGCATGATGGGACCCGTGAACTAATATTCTGTTGAATAACCCTTTGAGCTGATCAAAGTTTTTTTTTAATTAATCTTTTCAACCACAATTCAAAAGCAACATCTTATTTCACTAGATTATAATTTAGCAAATTTTTATGTATTATTACTTTT